TTTATTTATTTATTTATTTATATTAAGCTATCGTGCGTTTCATGTTCCAAAAGCGATAATAAATTATGCACCAGATTGCACTAGACGCTAAGAGTAAAAAGTTACGACTATTACATTAGTTCCTATTGTTGGTAACAATACTAGGAGAGCCAATAGATGTTTGTTTAGGCCCCAAAACCTGTTAATTATAAAGAATACGAGAATAATTGAGTGACGAACTATTTGTCAATTAATTGTACAATCGTATGACGAACTATTGGTAAACTAATTTTACAATCGTATGAATAACTATTGGTAAACTTATTGTAAAATCTATGACTAACTATTGGTCAATTAATTCTACAATCCTATGATTAACTATTGGTCAATTAGTTGTACAATCGTATGACTAACCATTGGTCAATTAATTCTACAATCCTCTGACTAGCTATTGGTAAACTAACAGTACAATCGTATGACTAACTGTTGATCAACTAATTTTACAATAGTGTGATTATCTATTGGTCATTTAACTGACCTGTTCTTTGAGGTGCCAGCACTGGTCGCATGCTGTTATCTAAATGATGGACCTCTGACGTCATAGTTGGTGGATGCGAAAGTTCTGAGTGTAAAACTTTAAAACACAGACATATCTAGGAATGAATCAAACACAGACATATCTTGGAATGCATCAAACACAGACATATCTAGGAATGCATCAAACACAGACATATTATAGAGATGCATCAAACACAGACATATTATAGGGATGCATCAAACACAGACATATCTAGGGATGCATCAAACACAGACATATCTAGGGATGCATCAAACACAGACATATCTAGGGATGCATCAAACACAGACATATCTAGGGATGCATCAAACACAGACATATCTAGGAATGAATCAAACACAGACATATCTTGGAATGCATCAAACACAGACATATCTAGGAATGCATCAAACACATACATATCAAGACCCATCTCTTCAAAACTGCCCTCAAGACCCATCTCTTCAAAACTGCCCTCAAGACCCATCTCTTCAAAACTGCCCTCAAGACCCATCTCTTCAAAACTGTCCTCAAGATCCATCGCTTCAAACTGGACTATACTGACTCATTCTCACCCCCCTCTAGCTGAAAATCAAAGCTCGATTCTGCTGGGCACTGCTCATGGCTAGACAGGGGTAGATAGTACTTAGGTGGGTGAGGTCAAGCTTTTCACCAATTGTTTTTAAATGTGTACTTTTCTTTAATTGCTAATTTTTATGTGAAGCGCTGTGAGCCTAGCCCTTGGCTGTGGTACTGCGCTATCCAAAACAACATGACAATAATAGTAATAATAGCAGTAGTGAGCCAAAGCTATGGTAGTAGTGAGCCATAGCTATGGTAGTGGTGAGCCAAAGCTATGGTAGTAGTGAGCCAAAGCTATGGTAGTAGTGAGCCATAGCTATGGTAGTGGTGAGCCAAAGCTATGGTAGTAGTGAGCCAAAGCTATGGTAGTGGTGAGCCATAGCTATGGTAGTGGTGAGTCAAAACTATGGTAGTGGTGAGCCAAAGCTGTGGCAGTAGCAGCCTTTAGAAACATTTTCTCCCGACTTATGTTGTAAAGGGCTCAAATGGATTATCCGTCCTATTTTATTTAGAATCCTATTGACTCTAATGCTGTCAACTCTGTGCATACATGGACTCTAATGCTGTCAACTCTGTGCATACATGGACTCTAATGCTGTTAACTCTGTGCATACATGGACTCTAATGCTGTCAACTCTGTGCATAAAGGGACACTTATACTGTCAACTTTGATAATTTCAAGTCTGATGCTGTCAACCTTGATACTTTCAACCCTGATGCTGTCAAATTTAATACTTTCAACCCTGATGCTGCAGCTTTAATACTTACAACTCTGATGGTGTCAACTCTGTGCATATAGGGACGTTGATGCTGTCAACTTCGATAATTTCAACTCTGATACTGTCAACTTTGACAATTTCAACACTGATACTGTCAACTTTGATACTTTCAATTCTGATGCTGTCAACTTTGATACTTTTAACTTTGACTCCACCAACTTTGATGCTTTCAACTCTGATACTGGGAAATTTGATAATTTCAACTCTGATACTGTCAACTTTGACAATTTCAACACTGATACTGTCAACTTTGATGCTTTCAACTCTGATACTGTGAACTTTGATAATTTTAACTTTGATACTGGCAACTCTGTACATATAAGTATAAGGACACTGATACTATCATTTTTACCCTAAGAGTACCGTCAATGTTCTTTGGACGTCAAAATTAACCCGAACAAGAAAATAATATCTACGCCTATTTCTTTTGAGACAACAGACAGTCACAGTTACGTGCTTTACGCATCGTCCCACACCTAGTCATGTAAAAACTCTATCCTTTTTTCTCAATTGTTTAGACTAAAAAGACTTTGCAGCAATGATGAGGAATTTTGGGAAAGTACAGCTGCACTGTTGGATGTTTTCCTTCGTAGATTATATCCTGAACCAATTTTAGAAGCAGCTGCCACTCGAGTTAAAGGTATGACCAGACAGGATTCGTTTAAAGTAACTCATTCTGACAGTGGGGATATGGCTACATTCATATTTAAACCTTTCACCCCCACAACCTTAAGGCTCTTTATCTATTTCTCAATAACCGGTCCATTCTTATGGCAGACCCTGACACCAAACAGATTTTCAAAAAGAACCCATCTTTTCGCTTTCCGTGGGGACAAGAGCATCGCGGACATGTCACCTCCATGCTATTAAAGCACTTGCAAACAAGTTGTAACCGCTGTAACACATGTCCCTATACGTGATGGAAGTTGATCTTGCACAAATAGCAAAGGGATTAACATGAAATTTGTAAAAAAAAAATCAATTACAACGCCATTTGTCCCGTATCTAAACATTTCAATAGTGCTAACCATAATCGAATATTAGATATTGCAGTTAATGGTATATTGCAGCGATTAATATACCTGATATAATTTATATGGATAATATATTGATAAAAAGATAACTTCGTTGACTCCATAAGGTATAAACCAAGTTCCCAATTTTACTACATTATTTCATTTGTTTTCCTATTTGGCTTTTACATTTTACCCCCACCCACTTTCTGTTAGCCCGTCTGCGCTTTATTTTCATTAGGGGCTGGGAATGAATAATTCTGCTGCAATAGTTGCTACCGTGACGTTACAAACTCACATGCTGTATGTTTGTTAAAGTTGTGTTTTTGTTCTTTCTTTTTGGTTGTTTCTCTTTTTGTGTGTGTGTGTTGTTTTTCTCAGCTGATCCCCTTGATCTTCGCGTCCCTCAAATGTGTGTGTGTGTGCATTCAATATAGTTCGATCTTAGTGCTAGGCGGTGCATACCAATTGCCGTACGGTGCGTCCCATAAACACTTGTTTGTTAGTTTGAAGCACTATCTATATGTATGTGTTCGTGTGTGTTATGTTGATGTGCGTGTGTCATAGTTCACTTACCGAAACACAAGAGGGAGACAAACACATACAAGTGTACGCAGTTGCGTGAGAGAAGTGGTGCAGAGGTGGTTTTCCCCCGGATCACTTTTTACGGAAGACTGTGTAGTTTTTTCTAATCTCATATGCCTTGATGTATTTCATATGCAAGAACTGGCCACGCCTCTGGCTACGCGGCTCGTATCTGGTTATGCAAGTTATTCAAATGTGCTAAATATTTGTTTAAAAGCTGATATTAACTGAGATGCATTGAAAAATGTGACGCTTTTGTGTCTCTCGGGACATTTTTGGATGGAAACCTGTAATAGACCTGGTCACACGCCAGCATTTGCAATTAACGGACGTCCACCTATTGCAGGCCACTGGACAGAGCTGGTCACTTTAAAGAGACAATTTAAAGAGAGCTTTCCCGAGAGTCAGTAGTGTACGTTACATGTGTTTTCAAAGACGTAAATCTCGCTCCCGTCGTGGGCATGGAAAAGCAATACTTGATGTGTTGTCAATTTAAAACATGTTCGAATCCCATGAATAAACTTCTTTTTGCCTAAATAAGGTCCAGATATTGCTATACAGATAACGAGCGATGGAACGTATACATTTAAGGACAAGCTTGTTGATGTATTGTTCAAATATACAACATGCGTTTGAAGCTTGAAAATAATTTATTTTTCAAAAGATATATATATATATATATATATATATATATATATATATATATAGAGAGAGAGAGAGAGATATATATATATATAGATATATAATATAGAAAAAAAAAAAATAAAAAAAAAAAAATATATTTTTATAAAAAAATATATATATATATATATATATATATATATATATATATATATATAGAGAGAGAGAGAGAGATATATATATATATAGATATATAATATAGAAAAAAAAAATAAATTCAATCGTAAAATAGTGATATTTTTTATTGACAAAATATATTTCCAGTACATTTTTAACTTTGAAACATATAAAATCACATTTTTTAAAAATTAATTTTTTTTTACATTAAGACTGCATGTACATGATTGTAGTTTATTTTAGAGAGTTGGTGGTTCTCTCCCACCATCCTCACCCAGCACATTACTTCCCTTCTTTGCCACTGGCCAATAATAAAACAATAGTAAATTATGACACGACTCTTTCTTAATATGTAATGGCGATGTCACCGGTTTTACGAACAAGGTTTCACTAGTTCTATCTCACTCTCACACACACATTTCATCAGTTCTATCTCACTCTCACACAAACATTTCACTAGTTCTATCTCACATACACATTTCAGAAGTTCTATCACAAACATTTGACATGAACACCACCACCCACCCCATCCCTTATACTATCCTAGTACAAGCCTAAAGTATCAATATTATCAAGTTATCGAATTAAAAAGTTTCTTTTGACCTCCAAAAACCATGTTTAATAGATGACAACAACCCAATCACCAATGACCTCTGACCCTCACCCATTTCGACGCCTGCGTTACCATTTATATAACCAGCTACGTCATTGTTACAGGAAAGGGCGAACCCTTTATTTTATTGTGACTTTTGGTTACAATCATCTGCTCAGCCGATGCTAAAGTTGATAAACAATTGACTTGATCTACACAGTTGAGCTGATGTTGAATTGATACTTAAAATATGCACAAATATTCGATATACATGCCATTGAGATTATATCCATAGTTGAAATTCAAATACAGTAAAGATTATATATACAGTTCAATATTAAATGTACAGTTGATATAAAATACACTGTGGAAATCAGACAAAAAGTGTGAATGTGTATTTCGCCTTGTAATTGAAGCTTAGAGATATTAAAAAAAAATTACATACATTGTTTGATAAATATTTGAGATTTGACGTGGCCTGGTTGACACACCAACCCAGAAGATAATGTCAAGGGACCAGAGCGACGTTCACTTAAAACACATCCATACAGTATTAGGGCCCAAATTGTGGACGATGCCATTTCTGTTTGAAAGACGAACAAATGTGTAACATTTTTTTAGTTATTTAAAAAAAAAAAGTTTTCGTTCTTGATGTTGTGTAAATAATTGAAAACCTGAGTGAGGAAGGCCTCCAGTGTTTTAATGGCCACCTGTCTGAGGAAAGCCTCCAGTGTTTTAATGGCCACGGTGAATAACTGTTTGACCAAACGAATTAAACAGATTCTTTGTGTTGGTGTGTTTTCAAAAAAAAAAAAAAAAAAAAAAAAAAAAAAAATTTTCTGTGCCGTCATCAAATCTTCTAGGATTTGTTGATTTCTGGGACTCCGCTGGTGCGTTCCAAATTAATTCATTTACTGCTTGTGCTGTTTAATAATTTGTCTTTTTGGATGAAATTAGAAAAAAACAAAACAAATTGCATGATAAAACGAGTACTCATTCTTCCATTTTCCTAACACCGTCTCTGTTGATCATGACAGGAGACATCGAGACAACTTTTCATAAAACTTTATTTAATCGTTCCAATGGAATGTTCATTTTATCGTAAACACATTTCTTTTTAAAAGAAATGGAATAAACTTATAATTTTTTTAAAGGAATGAGACCTGTTTGTTTAAAAAAAGTTAATTTAATTTCTAAGTCACCATACCATAACTCAATTTAACCGGAAATGTGCAGGTGCCATTTGTTTCAGACAGGTTGTGCAGACGATATTTGTACGTTAGACTTTGTAGCTGCAGCAGAAAGGTAAGCTAACAATGGGATTACTTTACACATCACACGCTGGCGTCGTCATAGCATGAATGTTGGATAAGCAGCAGGGGCGTGACCTCCATGTGGTGGCTCCGCTTGGACTCTAGGCTCTGGTAGATATAAAAAAAAAAGAAAAGCCACAAAATTATACAGTCAAAATCAAACCGGGCTAGATCTATATTTATGTTAAACAGTAGCGTCAGTAGGGGGTGCGGACTCCCCGGGTGACATTCTCAAGGGGTGGGGGGGATTGCAATTTTGATATATAACTCGCTCGAATCTGTTTCATGAGAGATAAATACAAAGGAAGGTACAACCAGAGCAGGCATACCATCAGAGCAGGCATAACATCAGTCCAGGCCGCCATCAGAGCAGAGGGGACCTTGAGGAGACCAGAGGCGTAGCGAGGGTGTTTGGCGCCCGGGGACAAGATCCATTTTAAGGTGCCCCATTTTTTTTTCAACACTCAAACCCATTATTTTTACCAATAATGTAATATCAAGGCACATTTTGGCGCCCCTAACTAGCTTGCGCCAGGGGACATCTGTCCCCCCCCTGCCCCCTCACAACGCCTCTGGAGGAGACACGTGGGGAAGCTTGAGGGATCATTAAAAATGTTAATCTAAAGATAAAGTACAACAATCTCACCGATTTCTAATCCATAAATTTTCTTATTCAACATTAATGGAACTTCACTACTCGTCACCCCTACCTGACAATTCATCACACGTACCTGACTATTTATTAGACGTACGTGATTATTGATCACACGAACCTGACTATTTATTTGACGTATGTGACTATTTATTACACGAACCTGACTATTTATTAGACGTATGTGATTATTGATTACACGAGCCTGACTATTTTTAGACGTATGTGACTATTTATCACACGAACCTGACTATTTATTAGACGTACGTGACTATTCATCACACGAGCCTGACTATTTATTAGACGTACGTGACTATTCATTACACATAAATGACTTTTCACTACAGATATCTGACTATTCATTAAATGTACCTGCCTATTCTATGTGTGTGCCTGACTATTCACTGCACATACTTGACAATTCACTACACGTACCTAAAGGAGCACTGGGCCCGGTAACCTGGACAACATCAGCGTAAGGAGGTGGTAGGGAGGCGTAGTCTGGCAACGTGAGGTCAGATCGAGATTCGAATGCCGCGTTGGTGTGAAACACCTCATGGTAGGAGGGTGGGGCGATACCGTACGGGTAGTCGGTATCGAAACGATTGCCTCCCCGATCAGCAGTGCCAGCCTGTTGCTTGTACAAACGTCGCCGTAGTCGAATACAACACAGGACGATGATCAGTGTCACTATTGTGGCAGTGGTTAGTGTTATGACTAAGGGTAAAATCATGTCATTGTCACAGCATTCGGTGGAAGGACCTGGTCAGAAAGGGATATTTGAAAAGATACCTTTGATATCCAGTTACATTAGCCATATTATTTTATCTTGTTAACTCATATCATGTTATTTCAGAAAAAAAAATCTTTTAAAAAGGGCTCTCAAAAATTTAGGTCAACAGATATTCTAGGCTAGAATTTTATTTTTCGAAAGTAGTAGTCCGCAGCCTTGCACCCGATCCGCGAGCCTTTGGTTGCCTTTCCGCATATAATGAATCAATTGACTGGTAAAATAAGTTAAATTTTTCTTCGTTTAAGTCTCAATTCAAAGCTTCTTAACAACAACAAATATTTGCAATGTGAAAATTTTGTCAAGGTTTCACCAAACTCTTAAAGTTTGGGGGGAGCACTGCTCTATAAGTCAAGACCAGAGGTTCTCAACTCAACCTTCCTGATGCCGCGACCCTTAATACAGTACCTCATATTGTGGTGACACGCAACAGATAAAATTATTTTCGTTGATACTTCATAAATATGCGTTTTTCGATGGTCTAGGCGACAACCTGTGTACTTCCCCCCCCCCCCCCCCAAAAAAAAAGGGGACGCGACCCACAGGTTGAGAACACCTGGTCTAAGACCATAACTTACATCTCAGGACCCCAACTTTAATCTCACTGGCTGTTGTGATGTCGCCGCCTGCCACACATTTGATGGTGTACGTTGCCACACACTGGACATTTCTTACAACGTAAACTAAATCCTCATCAACGTCACCACTTTTCATCACGAGGTCGTAGAATGAAGAATTGTACAAGGTCAGGGTCGTGCCGGGTGGACCAATCCCTTTACAGATGAATGTGACGTCACTTCCTACGGCAGCTTCCAAGGAACCAGTCTGCTCATTGGCCATGAAGGACACCACCTGGGGATTGGCCGGCGCTTGGGAAATGTAAAAAAAAACAAGAAAAAATAAATAAATAAGACCATCCATTACAAATACTTTACAGGGGATGAGATGTCGGACGACCATGCAAAGTTTGGAAGTTGGGTGGAGGTTGGGGAAAAAGAACGGTGATTTATTTATTTTTAGGGTTAAGTGCATTGCTTAGGTTTGTAATCAATACCTCCTGGGAACCAGGTTCTCCACTCATTGCTGACTTGGAAGTTTTCCCCTTGCAAGACATCGGGGTACACTGTAGCCTTGAAACTTGCGAACCCGTCAAAGGACTCCGAGTAGACATACTGAGATGTGGTGCACTTTGTGGTGTAGAGGCCCGTATACAATGACTTTTGGTCGTCGTATGAAATCTTCGACTCCCACGTCTCAAATGAACCCTGCAGTGTTAAAGGATGTATACTTAATGAATTGTTTCAACGTTTAGACTTACGGTCAGCACTTGTTCACATGGTTAGTAGACAGCGGTGTGCATTCTGGGATCACAGGGTCAGTAGATAGTAGTGTGCATCCTATGGGATCACAAGGTCAGTAGATAGTTGTGTGCATCCTTGGGGTCACAGGGTCAGTAGACAGTAGTATGCATCCTGGGATCACAGGGTCAGTGTATAGTTGTGTGCATCCTATGGGATCACAGGGTCAGTAGATAGTTGTGTGCATCATATGGGATCACAGGGTCAGTAGACAGTATAGTGCATCCTATGGGATCACAGGGTCAGTGGATAGTTGTGTGCATCCTATGGGATCACAGGGTCAGTGGATAGTTGTGTGCATCCTATGGGATCACAGGGTCAGTAGATAGTGATGTGCATCCTATGGGATCACAGGGTCAGTAGACAGTGGTGTGCATCCTATGGAATCACATGGTCAGTAGACAGTAGTGTGAATCCTATGGGATCACATGGTCAGTAGACAATAGTGTGCATCCTATGGGATCACAGGATCAGTAGACAGTGGTGTGTATCCTTGGACCACAGGATCAGTAGACTTAGGTCACAGTGATCCAATGCATTTATCTCTGAGTCTGTTGAATGCTCAGGTGCTGAATTAATAATGAGATTTCCCAGCTTATTCTGGTGACTAATTTCAATTATATAGATTTTGAAGAGTTTGTTACAAAATAGATTGAGTTAAACTATCGACGCGAAAGAGACGAATAGAAATAGCCGCGGCTCGATGTCTTGCAGGTCGCTGTTATGGACTGGAGTTGGGAGCGTGAATGTTCACTGAGGATTGTTGATCGTGATTGGGTGAGAGGTTAAGATAGTAAAGTGTGGACCAGGTAGGCCTGTGTGTGTAGTAAAGTGTGGACCACGCATGGCTGCGTGTGCTGTGAAGTGTGAGCCAAATATGGCTGTGTGTGTAGGGAGGTGTGGACCAAGCACGGCCCACTGTTATCTGTCTTGCTAGCTGTACATGTCTTGCTAGCTTTACATGTCTTGATAGCTTTACACACCTTGATAGCTTTACAGCGCCTGATAGCTTTACAGCGCTTGGTAGCTTTACAGCGCTTGGTAGCTTTACGGCGCCTTGATAGCTTTACAGCGCTTGATAGCTTTACAGCGCTTGATAGCTTTACGGCACCTGATAGCTTTACAGCACCTTGATAGCTTTACATCGCCTTGATAGCTTTACAGCGCTTGATAGCTTTACAGCGCTTGATAGCTTTACATCGCCTTGATAGCTTTACAGCGCCTTGATAGCTTTACAGCGCCTTGATAGCTTTACAGCGCCTTGATAGCTTTACAGCGCCGTGATAGCTTTACAGCGCCTGATAGCTTCACAGCGCCTTGATAGCTTTACAGCGCCGTGATAGCTTTACAGCGCCTGATAGCTTCACAGCGCTTGATAGCTTTACAGCGCCTTGATAGCTTTACAGCGCCTTGATAGCTTTACAGCGCCTTGATAGCTTTACAGCGCCTTGATAGCTTTACAGCGCTTGATAGCTTTACAGCGCCTTGATAGCTTTACAGCGCCTTGATAGCTTTACAGCGCCTTGATAGCTTTACAGCGCTTGATAGCTTTACAGCGCCTTGATAGCTTTACAGCGCTTGATAGCTTTACAGCGCCTTGATAGCTTTACAGCGCCTTGATAGCTTTACATGTCTTGATAGCTTTTGCGAACTGTGCGCCCACAGTTCAAGTGGACCATCTCAATTACGTCGGTTGATTTGTGTTTATTTACTCTAAAGTTGTAGGTTCAGATACACGTGGGATTGATGGGTCCAATGATCTCTCTTTCACAGTTTGCTTCTGGTGTGTCCTGCTTCCTTTTCCCAACCACCCCTCTCATCTCCACATTTTTTATATCAATAGTAGGCCTACTGAGTGGAAAAAAGGATGTCACGCATCGAGTGTCATGCGTGGCGGTTGAACTCAGGTCAATAGTTTAATTTTGTTTACTTTAGGGGGAGGCGACTAATCACATTAATCAATAAAGAACCACGGGTGGGGGGGGGGGGGGGGGGGGGCGTGGGACTGTTGGAAAGGCGAGGTTAACTTTTTTTTGTAACATCTGTAAAAAAAAAACAAAAAACAAAAAAAAACAGCAACAACCTGCGCCCGGGTTAAGCCGTCGTTGGCTGTCTCATTCACTTACCGTTGCCACCACGCTGCAGTTGGCCCGTGGATGGACGGTTGTTTTACACGTGGTCTTAATCATGTAGTTGTTCTTACTGACTGGTGTCAGGGCCGGTGTACCACACACAGGGACTGACGGTCTCACTATGGGCGGGGGGGGGGGGGGTGGGGGGGGGGGGGGGAAAGGGGTTAAAAAATATATATATAAAAAACAAAAAAACAATTAATGAAAACTCATTAAAAGGAGTATCGGTCTGCTGATGTAAAAAATGTCTTTAGAAATGATGCCAGGGGGGGGGGGGGGGGGGGATAGGGGGAGGGAGGGGAAAGAGGTTTAAAAATATATATATAAAAAACAACAAAACAATTAATGTAAACTCATTAAAAGGAGTATCGGTCTGCTGATGTAAACAATGTCTTTAGAAATGATGCCACCACTGCTTGACTGGAGAAGAGATTTCTCTTAACATGTTCATGTATTATTATTGAAAAAAAACAACTTATTTGGAAAAAAAAACTATGCGAGATATTCATCTTGTATTTACTTTTTAATGAACCGAAATATAAGAACCTCGCCCCAAGAAACGAAACGGAACAATAAAACAACAAAAACATTAGCCTGCTCGACCTAACTACCGAAATAATATTATTTTCGTATTTAACACCCCCCCCCCCCCCCCAAATTGCTTTGAACTATTTTTTGTAACGAACTGAATAATGCAACAAAAAATGAATAAAGCAACAACAATTTTTTAACGCCACTGAATGCTTGACTTTCAGCGACTAAAAAAAAAATGTTTTTTCTCAACATTATCTACATTTTGCACCCCTACGAATTGTCCGACTAATCGTCACACTCCGACAAAAGTAACAAAACATTGTCAAAATGAAAAAAACAAGTCTTTAATTTTCTTAAAATGAAAAAGAAAGAGAATGATGAATTAGACAAAAAATTTGTGGCGTAATACATCAAATGAAATGAAGGATTAAAAAAAATATATATATACACATTTATATTTTAACGTACATGCCAGTGACATCTCTTAACTTAGGACCCCCTAAAATGGCACATAGAACCCCGTAAAATGCCACATAGCATCCTCTAAAATGCAACATTCGGCCCGCCAGCACCAACTTTGCGGCCCGCGAGGTAACGAAGTATTCTTTGTTATTATAATTTTTTCCAATAGATTTCCAAATTGTTCTATTTTCGTTCGGCCCGCGCAAGTCTTTCATAAAGTATTACGGCCCGCGTAATTTTTTCATAAAGTATTACGGTCCGCCTTACATTTTGAGTTGTGCAGGCCTGCACTAGACTACACAACATAGTGTTTTTGCAGTTGACATGATGGTTACATCGATTTGAGCTAAAAAAAAAAAAAAAAGGGGGGGGGCGCTGAAACCGTCCGCGTCAATAAAACCATAAAGCCGCCGGGGAGCGAAAACGGGCCTTATGTATGTGAAATATGTATATAGACATGCGAAAACGGGCCTTATGTATGTGAAATATGTATATAGACATATAATTTTAAGATAATGTTAAGAATTTGCCTGGACACATGAGTTTACTTGCAAAGTCCCTGGTTATACAACAAATGAGTCATTTTACTATTCGTTAAGCCTAATTTAGAAATAGATCAAATGGAGACATCAAACAATGTAATGTTAAAGTTAGCAAAGCTACACGCTTACTAGTTGCTTCCCTTTGATTGAACAAATTACTGGGTATGGCGACTTATCACAAGTACACCCATGAGCACAAACTAACTTACCTATACAACTCCAAATAACCAAGTATTTATAGACTTGTCACAAGTATCAACTTAACTACAAAGCCAAGTCACCAAGTAGTTCTAGACCTATCACAAGTACCAACTTACCTACAACGCCAAGTAACCAAGTATTTCTAAGACGATAAGGATCTAAACTGATGCACAAAATCTTTGTCATGTTCCGCAGAATTGAAGAGATGTTGAGGTAATAAATGTTCCCCTGTGTCACAACAGCACTGTACGCAACACCTGGACAAAGGTCATTTAAGAAAGATTTATTTAAAATGCGCTACAGAAAATAACATTTCAGCTTATTATGAAACGCAACAGCACCCATACATTTAGCTTACAACAAAAATGTTGACACTATTTCGGAGATATTTTTGCTGAAACTCATGATGTTTCAGTCTTACCAGATATCGATTGTTTCATCCCGAGCTTTTAAGCATTTGATCCTTATCTATTATTTACTTGACTGAGGTACCCGTCAGATGTCTAGCGTGGACTTGTCAACCCCTTCAGCCCCAGCAGCCCCTGCGCTATCAAGGAGTCTCAGGAATTAAATGGCTCAAATGTTATGTAAAAAAAAAAAGATCAACTTGCAATGTTGGGATGGTTGGGGGGGGGGGCAGAGAAAGCTGTAAAGTTGCACCAGGGGCCTCTAAAACTCACGCGATGGGTTTGATGTCTAGAGAATATTAAATTCACAACAAACCAGTCAAACTCTTGTTGATGCAAACCGCCTGCTTACACACGGTCATCTTTGTGCCATCGCTAAAGGTGACGTTCCAGGCCAGGTTGCCACCAGCGCATGAAAAGATGCCACTTCGTCCCTCTTCAATTGTTGTTTTGAACGTGGAGCCGAAGACACCTGCGACATATTCACACGATAGCAAAAATTTCATTAAGTTGTCATCTCACATTTTTTCAAAATTTTGTTCATTGAAGTCATTGTAACAATGTATGACATGCAACTTAGAAGTTAGTTTCAAGTTTACTTACATAAAGGAAGCCACAGAAGTAGGAAGCATCCTTTGAATGGTGTCAAGGGGGACATGATCGGGTCTGAAACCAAACAATGAATGTGTCAGTTAAGTAAAATATATAAATTGTTTAGGTTTGAACATCATCTACAGCAAATCCACAGCAGAGGTTCTCAAGTGAGCGATACAGCCACAGAGAGCTTAGGGTGTCGTGGATTGCTCAGTGGAGGACAGTGAAAACCACCAAAGATTTAAGTGGGTCTCGGGGTTTTAAAGTGGGGGCGCTGTTCAAATTTTGAGGGGCGCGTTTCTTTAAGTAAAAATATAGCTTTCAAAAAATGCTGAGGTACTGTGATCATAAAAATGATATCAGATCTTGTTAGCATAAAAAAGACATCCGATATTGTCAGCATCAAAAAGGCATCAGATATAGTCAGCAGTAACAAGGCATCAGATATTGTCCCCATCAAAAAGATATCAGGTATTGTCCCCATCAAAAAGATATCAGGTATTGTCCCCATCAAAAAGATATCAGATATTGTCCCCATCAAAAAGATATCAGGTATTGTCCCCATCAAAAAGATATCAGGTATTGTCAGCATAAAAAAGATATCAGTGTTGTCCCCATCAAAAAGATATCAGGTATTATCACCGTCAAAAAGATATCAGGTATTGTCATCATCAAAAATACATCAGACATTGTCGCCATCAAAAAGACATCAGATATTGTCACCATCAAAAAGACATCAGATAATGTCACCATCAAATATACATCAGACATTGTCACCATCAAAAAGACATCAGATATTGTCACCATCAAAAAGACATCAGATAATGTCACCATCAAAAATACATCAGACATTGTCACCATCAAAAAGATATCAGACATTGTCACCATCAAAAAGACATCAGATAATGTCACCATCAAAAAGATATCAGATATTGTCACCATCAAAAATACATCAGACATTGTCACCATCAAAAAGATATCAGATATTGTCAGCATCAAAAAGGCATCAGATAATGTCACCATCAAAAAGACATCAGATATTGTCACCATCAAAAAGACATCAGATATTGTCACCATCAAAAAGACATCAGATAATGTCACCATCAAAAAGACATCAGATATTGTCACCATCAAAAAGACATCAGATATTGTCACCATCAAAAAGATATCAGATATTGTCACCATCAAAAAGACATCAGATAATGTCACCATCAAAAAGACATCAGATATTGTCACCATCAAAAAGACATCAGATATTGTCACCATCAAAAAGACATCAGATATTGTCACCATCAAAAAGACATCAGATAATGTCACCATCAAAAAAATATCAGATATTGTCACCATCAAAAAGACATCAGATATTGTCACCATCAAAAAGACATCAGATATTGTCACCATCAAAAAGACATCAGATAATGTCACCATCAAAATGACATCAGATATTGTCACCATCAAAAATACATCAGATATTGTCAGCATCAAAAAGACATCAGATATTGTCACCATCAAAAAGACATCAGATAATGTCACCATCAAAAAGACATCAGATATTGTCACCATCAAAAAGACATCAGATATTGTCACCATCAAAAAGACATCAGATATTGTCAGTAGCAAAAAGGCATCATATATATGAAGAGGAAAAAAACAACACTTTTGATCAAATCGTAAAACAGAAGTAATGGAGGCGATTAACCAAGTTACGGATTGAGGTGTCAATTTCTTTTAGCAAAAACGAACTGTCAATTCTATTGGCTAGCAACACTGAACTGTCACTTCTGTTAGTAACACTGAACTGTCACTTCTGTTAGTAACACTGAACTGTCACTTCTGTTAGTAACACTGAACTGTCACTCCTGTAACACTGAACTGATCTGGTGTAACCCTCTTTGTGTTACCCTATGCTGGTGTCACCCTGTTTTGGTGTCACCCTGCTCTGGAGCACCCTGTTTTTGGTGTTACCCTGCTCTGGAGGCACCCTGCTGCTTGTATTTAACTTAGATCTGTTATGAAACCGACTGAAGCGAGCTCTGTCACGTCCAGGCACATTCCTTATAATTTCAAAACAGAACAACTTTTCATCCTACACCGTCTAATTTTTTTTTTACGGCACCAAAGAGAAGAAGAGGGGTGGGGGTGGGGGGTGGGTTAAAAAAAATAACTCAAAAGAAGCTCTAGAGAGAAAAACACCCCTTAATACGTAATATGTGTGTGTGTGTGTGTGTGTGTGCGTGTAATTTAACATCTTACTTACCTTACCTAAAGTTTCTTGACTCGTGTCACGTGACGAATGTTTCTGACAATGTCATTATGTTATTACAGCTCCGTTCAAGCGTATTTTATAGGTTATTGTTTACATCTTCCTTTCAACTACTTTGTCTGTACTGTCTAGTGTCTTCACACGAACTACTCTGTCTGTACTGTCTTCACAGACTTTAAGACGGTCATGAAGGCATATTAGGATACCGTCACCAGGAAGTAGGTCCTGACAATGAATGCTACCTTAACCATGTATTTCTAACTACCTTTAATCTGCATGACTACTTACATTGTTTCATGCACAGGCCTATCAACAAATCAGCCTTAGATGTTGATGACAAAGTTCTCAACCGTGGCCACGCTAAAAATAACCGACATTTTTTATACACGGGTGTGTATTTGTTAGAGTCCACACACTACCTGCAGCACACGCCAAGCTGGTGTGTAGTGTGCCTTGTGGCTTACCCCATGTTATCGATAGTGTCACCATGCATCAATAATTCTAGGTCATGTAACGTTATGCACCCAGTTGGTTACTGACAGGGTCAATATAAGGCTTTTAGATGCCCCAAGAGCTTAAACGTGCTCCCCGTGTCAAAGGAAAAAGTGGGGGGGGGGGTGGCGGTGCGATGATTCCCCCCACCCAGGTGGCACTTTTTTCTTTATATAGAGGGGCATCATTTTCGGTCAGCCACAGAGTTGTTTCTTGGAAAGGGAAGATAAAATGTTGTCCCGTGCAGGGCAGCACTAGCCCTAATCCCCAGGTGGCACCAGCCCTAATCCCCAGGTGGCACCAGCCCTAATCCCCAGGTGGCACCAGCCCTAATCCCCAGGTGGCACTAGCCCTAACCCCCGGGCGGCACTAGCCTTAGCTACGACACTAGTGCTCTCCAGATTACATTAACTCAATATTCATAACATCAAGAAATACAAACTGTATAATAAAACTTCGCTAGTCTATTAAAAACTTTAACTTTAGATAGAATAAATGTTTAGATTTGTTAATCTTCCAATAAAATTCAATATCACCTACATGTTGTGTTCTAAAAACTAAATTTCAGTCAAACACCCGCTTCTATACCATGGAGAGTTTAAGTATTAAGCCTGCCTCTATACCTGGGCTGCCAAAGTCAAAATATTAAAATACATTTACGAACAGTTATTTTTCTGGTGATAAAAAATGTGCAGGTTCTGTCAGTTTGATCGGATAGGACCGGGTATGTGGGGGTTGGGGGCCTGTGGAAGCATAAATCAAGGGCGCAGAACGCTTCCGACCAAAAGCGTTCAAAGAAGACGTTGGATAATTTCAAAATCCATTGATGCATTTTTTAATAGTTCTACACCAGAAGTAATGGAACATTTTAGCTTTAAAATTGGGACCATTCATTAATGACGACAATTTTTACCCCCCACCCAAAAAATATTTTTTTAAAAGTCGTCACAAACTTCATAAGATATAATTTTATAACAGATCACAATAGTCGTGACACATCATTTTATCCCACATCACAATAGTTGTAACACATCATTTTTATCACGCATCCTAATAGTTGTAACACATAATTGTATCACACATCACAATAGTTGTAACACATCATTTTATCCCACATCACAATAGTTGTAACACATCATTTTATCACACATCACTGACATCACAATAGTTGTAACACATAATTTTATCACACATCACAATAGTTGTAACACATCATTTCATCACACATCACAATGGTTGCAACAAATCATTTCATCACACATCACAATAGTTGCAACTCATCATTTCATCCCACACCACAATTGTTGCAACAAATCATTTCATCACACACCACAATAGTTGCAACTCATCATTTCATAACATATCACAATAGTTGCAACACATCATTTCATCACACACCACAATAGTTGCAACACATCATTTCATCACACATCACAGTAGTTGCAACTCATCATTTCATAACATATCACAATAGTTGTAACACATCATTTCATTACACATCACAGTAGTTGCAACACATCATTTCATCACACACCACAATAGTTGCAACACATCATTTCATCACACCACAATAGTAGCAACACATCATTTCATCACACACCACAATAGTTGCAACATATCATTATATTCACGTCCAATAAAAGCTGGCTGGTTGCGTGGCAAGCCATTAAGGCCCTCTTGGTCAGTCTGAGTCGACATGTACGCTACGTGTGGCGTGCACATGCACCAATGCCGAGAAGAGATCGTCATTTTTAACGCTGTCGCATTAGGCCCAATGTCACCTTAATCAGGCCATGATCACTGACTCTATCACTGACTCTATCACTTACTCTATCACTGACTCTATCACTGACTCCATCACCACTGACTCCATCAATGACTCGTTCATCAAATTTTTTTCTCCAACTCTCGCACTAATAATATAAATGACTCCATCACCACTAATTCTATCAGTGACTCTATGAATGCCTCTCTCAGTGACTCCATCACCACTAATTCTATCAGTGACTCTATGAATGCCTCTCTCAGTGACTCCAGCACTGACTCTAGCAATATCTCTCGCTCTAATGTATCAATTGCTCAATCACTTCATTGCTGACTTATTTTCTTGCTCATTTGGTGCTTCAGACATGGTCTCTGCTAGTAGCAAGGGAAATCATAGTTTGAAACTGCTCTTTCATTGCATGAATGAGAGTTAGTTCCCATATTTAAAAAAAAAAAAACGCTAGGGAACTTAATATGGAATTTTCATTCTTGATTTTCAACTTAAAAATGATTACAGCAGGCCTGCACAACTCAAAATGTAAGGCGGGCCGTACTACTTTATGAAAAACTTGTGCGGGTCAAAAGAAAATAGGTTAGGGCTTGCGGGGGCCAAAAGAAAATAGGACAGGGGGACATCTATTAAGAAAATAATAAGAATAAAGAATATTTCGTTACTTTGCAGGCCACAAAATTGGTGCTGGCGGGCCACATGCGGCCCGCGGGCCGTATGTTGTGCAGGCCTGCTCTACAGTATACACGTCAGCTGCATCGAATGGCCGATTTTTTAAAGAAAGTATTGCTGCATTGCCAATGACTCGAAGTAAACACCGGTGTGAGATAGCTCATGATCACCTCCCTAAAAATGAGAAATCCTTTCACAAAATACTGCCCAACAGAGCAGAGACTCAAAAAGTGGCCCCCCTTACATTCATGGGGTGGCTCTGTATTTGTTAACTGTGTAAAGTATTGGTCGAATTTCTCAAGTTTGGGTGGACGATACGATGAGTGTACCAATCTGTGACATGATGAGTGTACCAATCTGTGTGACATGATGAGTGTACCAATCTGTGTGACATGATGAGTGTACCGATCGGTGTGACATGATGAGTGTACCAATCTGTGTGACATGATGAGTTTACCAATCTGTGTGACATGATGAGTGTACCAATCTGTTTGACATGATGAGTGTACCAATCTGTGTGACATGATGAGTGTACCAATCTGTGTGATACGATGAGTGTACCAATCTGTGTGACATGATGAGTGTACCGATCTGTGTGACATGATGAGTGTACCAATCTGTGTGATACGATGAGTGTACCGATCTGTGTGACATGATGAGTGTACCGATCTGTGTGATACGATGAGTGTACCAATCTGTGTGACATGATGAGTGTACCGATCTGTGTGACATGATGAGTGTACCGATCTGTGTGACATGATGAGTGTACCAATCTGTGTGACATGAGTGTACCGATCTGTGTGACATGATGAGTGTACCAATCTGTGTGACATGATGAGTGTACCGATCTGTGTGACATGATGAGTGTACCGATCTGTGTGACATGATGAGTGTACCGATCTGTGTGATATGATGAGTGTACCAATCTGTGTGACATGATGAGTGTACCGATCTGTGTGACATGATGAGTGTACCAATCTGTGTGACATGATGAGTGTACCGATCTGTGTGATACGATGAGTGTTCCAATCTGTGTGACATGATGAGTGTACCAATCTGTGTGACATGATGAGTGTACCGATCTGTGTGACATGATGAGTGTACCAATCTGTCTAACATGATGAATGTACCAATCTTTGTGATACGATGAGTGCACCAATCTGTGTAATACGATGAGTGTACCGATCTGTGTGACACCAATCCTAGAGATGCCACTGCAATATTAGCTCAGTTGTTTCATATGACAGTGCTGTTAACTGTGCCGTCAGTGGTGTAGTTCTTTACGAATCTCATCAAACATGTGTCATTTTGTTAAGTTGCGCTAACCAGGCCCTTTGACGACGATGAGTCGGGTTCTAACGGGCCTTAGATTCACAATTTAAAATGGAGGACCAAATTTACACCGGGGGGGGGGGGGGGCAACTTTACACTGGTACATTCTAAAGTAGAATGTGGGACATTCTAAAGTAGAATGTGGGACATTCTAAAGTAGAATTAACCTTAAAGAATTGAAGAGAAAAAAATAAACGTCATTTATGGACCTTCTTAAAACGCTTGGGTGGGTCGGGCCAAACTACCTCTGGTAGAGGAACACACTGAATTGGTTCGAAACCATTTTTTCCGAACGAAGGAATGTTGTCAGAAAAGAACTTTATTTTAACGGAAATCATGAAATAAAAAAAAAATTAAAAATTATTATTTTAAGTTTATATTTCCCCCATTTCTTACTCGAATTTTCCCTTAGAACTTCTTTAAAAAAAATCTCTGTTGTAGAAATTTCATATAGAATAAACTTACATTCAAAACAACTTATTTTTCAAGACATTCCATCTTAGTTTCGAACAAATTGGTTTCTTACTAATTTTCGGTAACCAGGAAGATCTGGATATTAAAAAAAAAAGTGTATTGATGCAAAATAATGAACATGAGAGCAGCATCACTGTCCACCGACCAATTTGTTTACGTTTCCAACTGGTTCAACTTGGGACACCAATTAGTGTTGCCCAGCAACGACCTCTAACAGTGTAACAAAGAATCAATCCATATTTAAAATTGCGCACATCATGTATCACAGTCAAAATCCTGATTTGGTCGTGTGACATTTGAAAAGTGAACATACCTTAATCTCTCTGTGTGGGAAAATTGGTGAGAATGTGTGCTAAGCTATGATGGACTGCCGCCATTAACGTCAAAATCCCTTTTCCTTGTGTTTAACTTGGTATGACATGTGGCTGAATTAAGATTTATTATAGTATATTAAATAAAAGTTGATTTTTTAGTTGTTACAAAGTGTATAGAGAAATCATTATTATATTAAATTTATAAACTTAAGAAAGAGAGTTTTGCTTGGCTATACTTTGTTTTTCATTTATCATTGATGACATGTCGCCTTCAACTCATGAATTTGAAAATGTGCTCAAATATCCTCTGCAAATTCTTATCCTGAGTGGATGTTTTGTTCCGTTTCCTGGTGATCTCAGCGCCAAGGATAAAGAAAGCCGACCGAGACCAAGATGTACGTATGTGGCTAAGGCGTAC